TGTGGGGCTGGGACAGTGCCTGTGCCGGTCTGTGGGGCTGGGACAGTGCCTGTGCCGGTGTGTGGGGCTGGGACAGTGCCTGTGCCGGTCTGTGGGGCTGGGACAGTGCCTGTGCCGGTCTGTGGGGCTGGGACAGTGCCTGACTGTGGGGCTGGGACAGTGCCTGACTGTGGGGCTGGGGTGTGTTGTAGTCTAGGGTATAGCGATGCGGAAGATTTCGGGATGTAACAGAAAGTTAGCAAAAACCCCTCTCTGTTAGGATAGTTAAACCTTCTGTAATTAGCCAATAGCACTTAAGTGTGACGTGAGCAGATGGGAGTAACACAATGACCCTAGGTTATAAAAGGTCAAATTCTCCTGCAATAAACGCCATTGCTTCACCATCCATCACACTGATGTCTTGTGGGTAGAATGGTCCGAGTGGCCAAGGAGGGGCCACCGTGCTGGCTTCTGAACTAGGGTGTTTGCCTTGCTTGAAAAACCAACAGGGGTGCCCCTCGGGGCTCCGCCTGCTGTTTCCCAATCCCCACGGATTTGCTCCAGTACTCCACGGTTCAGGAAAGGGCTGGCTGGTGCCACAGCTGAGCCTGGCACAGGGGGACATTGCACAGCTGCTCCCCACCACCCCATCTTCTGCCTTCATGTCTTCATAGCACCATCCGGCCTCATCTGCCATTCCCTGTGACCTTCCCGTGTCATTTCTGCTCGTGAGACATCCAGTGAATGTTTTGTTTCTTTTGGAGGCTGGCTCTTTGGGCAGGCTGTCCTGACGGGGCCCAGAGCTCGGGGTACGACTGTTCCATGCCGGCTCCGTGGCGCAGCTGTCAGTCCAGCTCCATCTCAGCTATCTCATTATTTCACAGGATCAGAGAGATCAGAGTTACTCAACTGTGAAAACCACATCAACAGCCGTGACGGTCAATAACCTGAAGCCTGGTACCCTCTATATTTTCCAAATCCGAACATCTTCCTCTCCAGACTACGGGAACTACAACCCTGGCATTGAAGTGGAGACATTGGCAGAGTGTAAGTGCAGCAGGGCTCGTGTCCCTGCCAGGGCTCTGAGCTGAGCCCTGGGGATGCTGTGCTCACAGCTCGTGCCCCAGCTGCTCCTGGTTTCGTGGAGCAGCACCTGTTCCTCTGGTTCTGCTTCTCCAGTTCTAAGGGAGGGACCTACTCTGTCCCACTACCGTCCAGGAATTTGCTTTTCCTTGCATTTTCCCATTAGATTTTGATGGGGTTGGTGCTGCTGTCCTGGTGCCTCCCTGTCCTGTGGGAGCCTGTCCTGTCTCTTCTCAGTGAAGAGTCAGTGAGGGCAGTTGCTCTCTGGCTGCTTTCTCCTGAGGAGGCTGGGACAGTCTCTGCTCTTTGGCTGAGATTGCCCAAAAACGTGCTTAGCTCATGACTGCTCCCTGCCTCGCCTGCTGTCCTGGCTCAGGAGGCACTTGGCTTGTCTGCTCCTTGGCTGGCTCAGGGCAGCCAGCATCAGTGTTATCTGCTGAGACTTCTCCTTTTAAATTCCCATTCATAACTGTGGTCCAAAAGCATCTTATTTCACTAAAAGAGGGCTGGAGGGATGTTGGGCTTCAGCACAATCCCCCACGCTGGCTGGAAGTGCAAGGCTGAGCTGGCTGGCTCAGAACAGCTCCCACAGATTGTGTTTAACAGGGCTTTAAATTGCCTTCATTTGCCACACAGAAGACATTTCAGAATTAATTGAAGCCAATAAAAATTTTATAGAGAATGTAGCTATCTAATACCCTTGTTTGCAAAAGCAGGAGGAAAAGGGATTAATGTGATGAAAGAAAACTATTTGTAAGGCCATAAATTTTGATATGCTCCTCTGATAAACAGGATCCTTCCTCAGCTCAGATTAACAAAACCAGGAGCTGGTGCAGCAGTGCTGGGTTGTTCTGTCTGTGCTGCCTGCAGCACATTGGACTGATCCCACCAGCTTGGGTTCTTAAAGCTGAACCAGAACATGAATTCTTGTGAGGATGGTGAAGAGCAGCCAGGTGGTTACTCCCACAGCTCTTCTGGAGGACACAGGCTGGCCATGGGAGCAGTGACCAAGGCAGCTCCTCTCCTCAAAGCTGCCCCAGAGCACATTGATGACCAGCTCTGCTTCCTCCCTCAGTGACAGTGGCCTCCAGCGAGCAGAGCCCCGTCCTCATCATCACAGTGGGGGCCATCGTGGGGCTGACAGTGCTGGTGTCCATGGTGGTCGGCCTGATGGTCTGGAGGAGGTGAGCAGGGCCAGACACGCTCCAGGGGGGTTTGAGCTGGGGTAAGGGGTACTGCTGGAGTGCTGGTGTGCATCTTCATTCTCTTTGCAGGCAGTGTGGGTACAGCAAAGCCAGCCAGGATGGGGACGAGGAGCTGTACTTCCACTGTAAGTGGTGCCCAGCCCATGCCGCGACTGTGGGGATCCCCAGATTTATCATTGTTAACGACCCACCAAAACAGCTCTGAGCCCTCACTTTTGGGGTGTTGTCATCCTGTGTTATCCCAGAGCAGGGGCTGGCACAGCAGGGTTCTCTGAGGACCGTGGGCTTGACAGCTCCATGTGCCAATGTGTGGGTCACTGCCTGCCCAAGGAAATGGGGGTACTTGCAGCTTACAGGAGGTGTATAAATTATTCTGCCAGCTTTTCATGAGCATAAGCAAACAGCCTTGTTTTTCAAGGGTACTCTGGACTATTGAGCAGCAATAGTTTTAGAGACAACAGTTGTCAGAGGGAATTCAGATGTTGAGACTGATAAGTTTATTTGATTCCTGGCATATGCCCATGGAGTGCACACATGCTGGTCTGTTTCTGTTCCCCAAAGCACCTCAGAAGTAGAAGAGCCTGCCTTGACCATTTCACTTGGCTTTGGAGGGTGAGAGCTTCACTGGAGCAAAGGGGCTGCTCTCCTTTATCCAAGGGTTGTGGCAGTGGAGCAGAGCAGTTGTATTCACTTAATCCTAAAAAAGAACTTCTTAAAAACCTTAGAACTGAGTCTTTTGCTTTGCTTATAGAAAAGTGGCACGTAGGTTCTGCCCACAGACCAGCAGAGGGATAAACTAGCATAGTGCTTCCCAGGAAGGTGGAAGTTCTGTCCTCTCACCTGCCCTTTCTGCCTTTCCTGTAGTTAAAATACCGACCAGGAGGACATACATTGACCCCAGCACCTGCGAAGACCCCATGCAGGCTGTGCACCTCTTTGCCAAGGAACTGGATAATGCCAGCATCAAAATTGAGAGGATTATCAGGACAGGTGAGTTCCAGGGGCTGGTGGGCTGTGTCGGTGTGCTTCCCTTTGGCTGGGCCATGGCAGTGCCATGACATCACTCCAGTCTTGGGGGTACCTGCCTGCAGCAGAGGATGGGAGCTGGGCTGGTGAGGATCATATCCAGAAGCTTTGTTCCACATTCCTGGTGTTTTCCCGAGGCACTGAGCACAGCCAAGGAAACGCCATGCGGACCAGAAAGCATCAGCAATTATCTGCATCTGGGCAGTTTGACAGCAGCATGAAAACTATTTATAAATATGTGAACCTAATGATTTATCGATTTTCATCAACTTCACTGCCTAAAACTTAAAAGCAAATTAAAATCCCCTGACTGGACCCTACAGCCTTAATGGCTACTGTGTGCAGAACATGGGAAACGTGATCATTCTTTGTCATTTCTTTTCCTAAAGATAAATTCAGCTGTAGCAGCATCAGAGGTGGAGGAAGGGAGGAGGGAAGGGCTTTGCCTGCAGCTGAAGGACGGTGTTGAAAGGGAGAGGACACTGAGGAGGGGATGAGGTTGTCTCTGAACTGCAGTGTGGAGCAGCTCAGAGGAGCCCCATGTACCTTTCATAAGCAAACTGGTGTTTGAAAAATCAAGAAAGAAATTACTAAGGAAGACATTGAAATCTAAGGAGAGTGTGATTGTCTCACTAATAACCTAACAAGAACCTGATTTTCAAATCAATAAAACTGTTCATAGCTACACACTTTTTGCTGTAAAGCCAATATTGGTTTTTTATGTTGGGAATTTTGTAGCTCGTGTTGTGGAGTGCATGGCTGTGCGGTGGGATGTTCTTACTCAAGGATTGCAGGAAACCTCCAGCCCTGCTCTGTCCAGCTCTGTGGAAAGCAGACCAGGAGGCAGAACTAGCCAGGCCTGGAGCATGACCTTGGTGACAGGGGGTTAATCCTCCTCTCATGGGATAAAACACAGTATGCACTGGAGCAGAGCAGGGAGAGAGCAGCTGAGAGGCTCTGGAGATGGCTGAGGGTCAGAGGAGTGGCATGATGCTCAGGATGGCCTGGTGTGAGTGGCAGCCAGGGATGTGTTTAACCCATTTCTCTGCTGTGCAGGAGAGTTTGGGGAGATGTGCCGGGGGTGCCTGAAGCTGCCCAGCAAGCGCGAGCTGCCCGTGGCCATCCAGACGCTGCGGGCTGGCTGCTCAGAGAAGCAGCAGCGCTCCTTCCTGGCCGAGGCCTGCACCATGGGCCAGTTCGACCACTCCAATGTCATCCGCCTCGAGGGGGTCATCACCAGGGGTATGTGAGTTCCTCCTGTGCAGGAATGGGCTTGGGCTGCTGCATTGGTGCTAGAGGTGCAGCTGGCTCCCTGAGAGCAGCTGTTCCCACATGCATCGGCTGGGTTTGAATGCTGGTGATTAATAAAAAGCTTCCAGCTAGATTAATAAATGCAGGTAGTGGGACTGGCTTAGCAGCCAAGCACGTGTGCTCTTAATAAAAGTAAATTGAAGCGAGATTCTGTCAGTAAAACAGATGAGACTGACTGCTCCAGCTCTCCCCCATGAGTGCATGTGTGGAACCAGGCTATGGATGCAATGGTTAAATGGATATTCATGTAAATCCAAAGAAACCAGAGTATGTGAGCTGATTCTAGCTAGGCTTTTTATTAGGAAAGGAAGTATTCTGCCTGAGCTGGTTGCTTTTGCTTTCACTGGGCTGTGCTGTCCTTTGTGATGTGCTTCAGGGCTCTGATGAAAGGAACTTCTGATACTGGAATCCATTCCTAGCTAGGAATGAGAGAGAAGCCTTGGACCTAGTGCTCATTACAGCCTGGCTGAGATAATGTCCTTATCTCCCCCAAAAGCCAGGCAGTGCAGGGGTTGGCACCTGGATTTTTAACCCCTGCAGAGTCTGAACTGCCTGAGTGATGGTGGCACTCACACCGTGCTGCTTGTCTGTCTGTGCAGGGAGCACCATGATGATCGTGATGGAGTACATGGGGAATGGTCTACTGGACTCCTTTCTCAGAGTGAGTACTGGGGTGTCTGCCCAGCTTGGGCACTCCTGGCCATGTTCCCATCGCTGACCTTTGGCTTTTCCTGCTCTGCCTTCACAGAAACATGAGGGGCAATTCACAGGCACCCAGCTCATCTGCATGCTGCAGGGCATTGCCTCTGGCATGGTGTACTTGGCAGAGATGGGCTACGTACACAAAAGCCTTGCTGCCCACAAGGTCCTGGTGAGCAGCAGCCTGGCATGCAAGATCACGGGCTTCAGGCGGCCACAGGAAGACAAGATGGAAACCATCTTCTCCACCATGGTGAGCTGCATTTCCACATGCTGTTGTCAACACTTTTGCTAGGCTCCTGTTTCCGTCTTCAAGTATGAACAAGGACTCTGCACCTTGAACTTCTTTCTCAGGTAGAAATCCAATGTGTTTGGTCCCTGACTGCTCCAGCCACAACCCCTCTGCACAAATCGGGACAGAGGGACTTGTGTTTGTACAGCTGTGAGGTGGTTTTCATTAAATATTGATGTACAAAATGCCATCAGCTTTTCCTAGGGACATTCTCCTCTCCCATTAATATTTCAGGACTCACGCTCCCATGTAGCATACAGTTGCAGTGACATTTTAAACAAATTGAGGAAAAAGTTTTCTCTTAGTACTAAATGTGCTCGTGGCACAAGGGTTTGCTCAGTGTCCACCCCATGATGTCAGGCAGGGCACGATGAACGGTGAATGGCTGCCCAGGAATTGCCAGCACTGGCCACATCCTGCTGGGCAAATAACTCATTCCTGCCCTTCTGCCTGTGCAGCGTGGGAAGAGCCTGGTGCTGTGGTCAGCCCCTGAGGCCGTCCAGTATCACCACTTCAGTCCTGCCAGCGACGTGTGGAGCTTCGGGATCGTCATGTGGGAAGTCATGTCCTACGGCGAGAGACCGTACTGGGACATGTCCCACCAGGATGTGAGTGCCCTGCAGCTGCTCCCAGGCTGGGTGTGAGGAGGGAGGCTCGCCCCAGGGGTTTGCCCCAGGGTTTGCCTTCGGCTTGCCTGACCCCAGCCCCTCATGTCGTGCAGGTGATGAAGGCTGTGGAGGATGGGTTCCGCCTGCCCGCCCCGGCCAACTGCCAGCCACCCCTCCACCAGCTGATGCTCAACTGCTGGCAGAAGGACCGCAGCCAGAGGCCCAAGTTCTCACAGATCCACAACACCTTGAGCAAGTTGGTGCAGAGCCTGGAGCCCCCCAAGTGCCCCAGCTCTACGTGCCCCAGGTGACCACCCTCTTGCCACACCTGCCTGTCCCCCTTCTCGTGCTGTGCCCCACTCCCTCCTCCTCACCCTCTCTCTTGGCAGGTCTCATGGCACGTCCATCCCCCTCTCCAAGAGAACCTTCTCAGCCTTCCCATCTTTCAGCTCTGTGGGTGAGTGGCTGGAAGCTATAGAAATGGGCAGATACAAGGACAACTTCACTGCTGCTGGCTACTGCTACCTGGAGTCGGTGGCCAGGATGACGGCCCAGTAAGTGACCCGTTCTCCTGGCTGTAACCTTGTGTCGTGGGTGCAGTGAGAGCAACGTTTGCTGCCCCTGCTGGAGAGCAGAGCCAAACCCAATGGGATTTTCTGATAATCTGTTGTGCTGTAGCACAGGGCAGCAGGGTCACAGCTGCCCCACGCCTGGTGTGCTGCAAGCACTGCCTGGTCAGTGTCACTTTCAGCTTTGGCTGGGACAAAAGGTTGGGGATTTTTCACTTGTGCATGTCTGGCCTGAGAGCAGTGGGTGTTAGGGCTGCTTGGGGCTGGTTTGTCCTGGCTGACATGGGGCTCATTTTGCAGAGACATCCTCAGCCTGGGGATCACGCTGGCAGAACACCAGAAGACCATCCTGAGCGGGATCCAGACGCTCCGGGCCCAGGTCATCCAGATGCACGGCCGAGGCGTGCAGGTGTGAAGCCGTGTCCTGCAGAGGTGCAGAGCACCTGCCCTGCACTCCTGGAGAGGAGCTGGCCCCAGCCAGCCCCACCTCTGAAACCTGGGGGTCTCAGGTGGGCTGTGGAAATCACTGGGTGCTGCCAAACACCTGGCAAGAGAGCAGGGCTTCTGTCCCCTGTGCCTGGGCAGCCCAGCATTCCTGGGATGGTGCAGCATGCCTGGGTGGACGGGGCTCTCCCCAGCACTGTTTTCTAAGATGAGTCAAACTGTAATGAAGCCATTTCATGTGGTAGTTGAGTTCACAGGGTGGAATGGACCTTTTTGCACTGTCTTAATCCAGAGACAACACTTCTGTACCTAGTATCCTGCTGGTGAATCCATGGGTACTTTTATACAACCTGACAGATCACAGCAACCCCACAAGGAGTTTTTATTGCTTTTATATTTAGAGAGCAGCTCTCACCCAATGCCCAACGCCTGGAAGGTGACTTTCCCCATCTGTGCTGAAGGAAACTCTTTCCCAGTTGCATCCCTTCTGCTCCATGAGCTACTTCACTGAGTTTTGACACCTCAGGTGATGAACAAAACAAAATATTCTCCAGTAAAGCACAGAGGAAATGATGCTGGCTGAATCCATGCAATCCAGGGCACACCCACACTTTGTTTTGTGAGCATGGTGCTTGCCTGCCTGGCATGCTGGCAGCTCCCATAGCTGCAGCCTGATCCCTGAGAAGATATAAATAGCATCTTAATAATACAACTTTCCTTGAAGTTAGTTAATTAAATGGGTATTTGCAGCTCTGTACGGAGTTTTGTAAGGCTTTATTATGATCTTTAAGTATCACAAGTGAATTATTAATATTAATGCTGAAAGGCAAAGATTTACATAGGGGATGAAGGCTGTGGGAGGTGCTCAGAGACTGGTTGGAAATCTGCTCCAGTCAGACCCTCCTGTTATCCTGCTCTGAGAGGATGGGGATCTGAATGAGGATTGAAAGAAGCTGCATATGCTCTGGGCAGTTTGTTGTTCTCTGGGGAAAACAAGATCTGTCCTTCCTGCCCCCTCTGCAGTTCAAAATGCTCCCTCCCCAGTGTCTTTTGGATAGTGTTTTTTAACAGAAATAATTTCTCTAAGTCTGGCCCACGCCCAGTGGGCTTGGCCACTTGCCATCCTGCTGTTTCCCACCCTGAAGAGGAATAGCAGTGAACCGAGCCCTGCATTTAGTGAAATGCCTGGTCCCAAGGATCAAGTGCAATTTGTGTGCTCTCTGTGTTTACTTTTTATCTCTAGAGGAAGTGTATTATTCTAGAGAAAGGTCTCTAGGCAGGGGGTTGGTTCTGGATCTCCCCTCCCTGCTCGTACTCTGTTGGGATGCAGAAGCCACGCTGGGAAGTTGCCCCCTGGAGGAGCTGGCTCTAGGCTGGTTCACCTGCTCTCAAGGAGGTCTGGAGACATCCAGGGCTTGCTGGTGAGGTGACAGTGTGCCTCACTTTGGAGAACAGACCTGGACACGAGCAGGCAGCAATGTGTTGCTTTGAGTCCCCCAGAACAGGCTCAGAATATGAATATGAGAAGGGGCTGGCTCTGGGTGCCACTCATGGCCACCGGAATCTTGCTTTTCTGTCCCTCTGGATGTTTCCCAGCTGCAAAGGGATAAACCTCAGCACAGCTATCTGTGGTCATGTCTGTTTCCCTGGGCTGCAGTGGCTTGCCAGGACCTGTGGCTCCCGTGGCAAGTGGCTGTGGCTATGTGGAGGGAGCTCTGGGATAGGCTCTCACTCAGCAGAAACAGAAGTCATCAGCTTTCCTGGTCTCTCCTTCAAGAAAGGAAAGGAAAGCCCCCATGGAAGCAGCCTTCTAGCCCAGCTCTTTGCAAGAATAAACACTTTTAATTGAGCTCCTCACTGACACCAGATAACAGAATTCGTAGATTAAGCTATAGATTGTTGTTATGATATTAAAATTAACTTGCATCCTCTCAGCTTCTCTCCTTGGGGAAGTAGGATAATTAAATTAATCAGCAATGCTGTTTTGGAGCTGCAAGGGAAATGCCTCAAAAGGACCCTGGTCTCTTCCCATCCAGCCTCTGGCATGCCATGAGGCTCTTGCCCCTCCATGGGCTGGGAGAGCCCCAGTCCTGTTGGAGCAGCATCTGCAACACTCCCCTCACAAAAAACCAAATGGGAATCAAGTTGGTTCATCTCCAGATGCTTTTATATTCATTAGCCACATATTAAGTACTGTAAATACACACTTGAGAAATCAATATATATTTTTATAAGCTTGAGACAAATGTAATATAATATTATAAGGGACTCTGTGCATCTCATGTTTGAACTATAGTCAGACATCTCCAGGGAATCTCAGTTGGTTTAGAATATTTAATAATAAAGACAATAATAATAGTTATTATAAATGCTAATAAAAATCGATTGACTTTTTTTTTAATTTTGTATTTATTGAACCACAGTTGAAGCTGGCAATAAAGAGATATCTAAATACCTGAGTAAAACCAACCAGTAATCCTGCCCTGGTTTGTCTGCGGGTCATTTCAAGGTTCTGGGGGAAAATGCCACTTTATCAAGGGTAACATGTGGTGAGTAAGGGACAGTTTAATAGCATCAAGGTGTGAAGTGATGCCTTGTTTTGTTCAATAACATCTATGCTAAGGTGGGAGCCTGTGCTCTGGCTGTAGAGTGGCTGGAGGGGGTGGTTTGTTGTTACTGACACTTTGCAGGGAGGACAAATGCATCTGCTTTGCTTTGCTGGTGCATGTTGTGTGGTCAGAAAGGTGCATGGGCTGTCCAGGGGCTGCTCAGGCAGGTGGGAATCCCTCCCATCACCCCTGGGACCAGATAACCTTGGACATGCTCTCAGTGAGGAGCTGTCAGTGCAGTGGTCAGTCTGACACAGGTTGTGAGTGTGAAGATGTTGCTGAGCAGAGGGAAAATGCTGCACTCAAGGCATGTAATTAATTGTTTTATTGAGTGAATATGGCCAGCATATTAAATGCAAACTCAGCAGAAATAATGATGTTTTAAAATTATTTGATGTGACTCTCACCTGTTCACATCTCTTTTTCCTGGGCTGCTCACTGCCCAGGAACAGGCACAGGAGCCCTGGCTGGTGTGGAGGCAGCAGTGACAGCTGCTGGGAAAGGACTGCACGGCTGCTTAGAATGGGTGAAGTCTATTTGCCTTCTGTTGATCAATTAATTCAGGCAGCCTTTGCTCAGAGCCTGGCTGGGGCTGTACTGGCTCTATGAAGAAATAACCAGAGCTCTGGAGCAGGGTGATGAACAGTGGATTCCCACTCACAGCCAACCAGAGACAGATTTTGCCCAGTTTTTGGCAGTTGTGCCTCATTGTGAGGCATGGAGGTGGCTTTATCTCTCTTCTGTGACCTTCCTGGCACTGTCTCTGCTGGAAGCTGTAGGACACCTCCTGTCCTGGTGTCACGGGGGGCTGGCACCCCCTGTGCCAGCCCTGCACCCTGCCCAGCCCCACGTTACAGCAGAGGACATGGCTCTGGTGAAAGGTGGGTGATATGGCTCAGGCAGGGAACCCCAACGTGCAGCAGCGCTGTCAAGGACTGGCTCAGCACTGGCAGGTGCTGATCATAGGGGGGATTTTTAAAATAAAATGTTCATTGCATGGTGCTGGGGAAAGCAGCTGGCACCACCAGCATATCCTGGGGAGAGCAAGGGGGGAGCCAGAGCTCCTCCTCTGGCCCCTCACTCCCACACAGCAGCCTCAGACATGAAAGCCATCACCCCTTCCCCTTCCTCTTGTGGTCTTTCACTGCAGAGAGGCTGAGCAGACCCATCTGGGCTGTGATGGCTGGTGAGGCCTGGACGAGCAGAGCACTGCGGGCACATCAGCCTGACCCTGCTGCCACTGTCCCCATCCTGGCCCTGCTGCCACTGTCCCCATCCTGGCCCTGCTGCCACTGTCCCCAGCCTACTCACACAGGGAGGATACAGCGAGAGGGCAGCACACTGAGAATGTTAAAAAGAACCTGAGTCTGGAGGAAGAGCGAGGTTTGAATATGAATAATTGCTAATTATCAGGAAGAGCAAGTGCCATTTGTCAGGGTAATCAGCGATCTGTCAGTTCAAGTGTCGGTAGGACGGATGCCTCTTTCCTCCTCCTGTTCATCTCCCACGGTCTCGCTGTGCCTGAAGAGCCCTGAATGGGCTGGGCCATGGCCAGACCCCCACAGCTCCTCCTGCCCCAGCAGTGATGGGCTCCCAGAGCCACACTGGGCTGTCCCCAGTGCCCTGCACCACCCACCTGGCTGGCCAAAGGGTGGCTGGCCCATGGTGAGACACACTGGGGTTTGTGGCCCTGCCGAAGCAGCCTTGGCACATCCTGGGTGACATTTTTCACAGGGCTGGGTGACACTGGCACAGGGCTGGATGCCAGCCAGCAGCACCCACCAACCCTGCCATGGGTGACTTCAGTTGCCTCTGCACTTGTGGCTTGCCACTTAGAGCGGGGCCATCTGCACAGCATCAAGAGCTGCCTGGAAGGCACAGGAGCCATTTAATTACACAATTATAAATAACTTCAGCCTTTTTATCTTCCTGAGGCTGACAAGCACCTTCAGCATCAGACAAAGAACAGCTGTTATCGCTCGGTGCAGCATCTACTCCTGGGCAGCTGCCACCCTTGAAGGAGCACAGACAAAAGCAGAGGAGCTGTGCTCTCTCAGCAGGTCCAGATCAGTCCCAGAGCCATTCTCACAGCATGGCCATGGCCACATGTGGCTCAGGGAGCCACAGTTTCCTCTTTTCTACCACCTCAGAGCCCCAAAAGCAGGAGCAAAGGAGGAGAGATGTGAGGCTGTTCAGAGGTTTCTGGAGTTTCTGTAAAAATGAAGAGCGCTTACAAGGTGTTCTCCCCAGGTACCTGCTCCCACACCCCTGTTTTTAAGGATGATGTCTGACTTAGAGGATATTAATAATTAAAAAGTCATTTTAATGAGCTCTGGTTTATTGATAAAGCAGACTTTCAGGA